ATTCAAAGTGTACAATTCAGTGAGTTTGAGTATATTCACAGTTACATGCAGCCATCAGCATAGCCGTTTTAGCCATCATCAGTCACACCCTCAACCACCCCAGTCCTAGAAAACCACCAGTCTACTTTCTGTGTTTATGGATTTGTCCATTCTGGACATTTCATGTAAATTGAACCATGCAACATAGTGTCTGGCTTCTTTCAACTGAGCATATTTTCAAGGTTCATCCATGTTGTAGCCTGTCTGTACTTCTTTCCTTTTTATGGCTGAAGAGTATTTCATTGTGTGGTTTATACCATATTTTATTCATCAGTTGATGGATATTTGGGTTGTTTCTATTTTTTGGCCATAATGAAAGTTACTATAAACATACAAGTTTTTTTTTAATGAACATATGCTTCTGTTTTTCTGGGTAAATATCTAGAAATGAATAAATGGGTCATTTTGTTTTGTTTTGTTTGAGTCAGAGTCTCTGTCACCCAGGCTGGAGCACATGCACTCCACTGCAGCCTTGACCTGCTGGGCTCAGATGATCCTTCTGCCTCAGCCTTCCAAGTAGCTGGAGTTACAGGTATGTGCCATGATGCCTGGCTACTTTTTCTTTTCTTTTCTTTTCTTTTTTATTTATTGTAGAGATGAGGTCGCATCAAGTTGCCCAGGCTAGTCTCAAATCCCTGGGCAATCCTCTCGCTGCAGCTTCCCAAAGTGCTGGGATTACAGACGTGAGCCAATGTGCCCCACCAACTGGGTCATATTGTAACTCTATGTTTAATCTTTTGAGGAACTGCCAAGCTGTTTTCCAGTACCACTTTATATTTCCTGTACCATTTTACATTCTCACCAGCAGCGTACAAAGATTTTAATTTCTTCATATTCTCTCCAAAACTTGTTATTTTGTCTTTTTATTTATTTATTTATTTTTAATTAATTAATTAATTATTTTTTGAGTTGGAGTCTCACTCTGTCTCCCAGACTGGAGTGCAGTGGCCGCTCCCGGCCACCGCAGCCTCGACTGCTGGGCTCTGGCAATCCTTCTGCCTCAGCCTTCCAAGTAGCTGGAACTACAGGCGCGCACTACCACACCCATCTAATTTTTTGATTTGTTGTAGAAATTAGGTTTCACCAAGTTACCCAGGTGGGTCTCGAACCCCTGGGCTCAGGCAATCCACTCACCTCGGCCTCCCAAAGCACGGGATTACAGGATGAGCCACCGAGCCTGGCTTATATTTATTTTTTAACCAAGTTTTTCACTTTGTTGTCCAGGACATTTCATGTAAATTGAACCATACAACATACTTGTGTCTGGTTTCTTTCAACTGCATATTTTCAAGGTTCATCCATGTTGTAGCATGTCTGTACCTCTTTCCTATAAACATACAAGTTTTTTTATGAATATATGCTTCTGCTTCTCTGAGTAAATATCTAGAAATGAATAAATGGGTCATTTTGTTTTGTTTGGAGTCTCTGTCACCCATGCTAGAGCACATGCACTCCACTGCAGCCTTGACCTGCTGGGCTCAGATGATCCTTCTGCCTCAGCCTTCCAAGCAGGTCATTGCAACCTTGACCTCCTGGGCTCAGGTGATCCTCCCACCTCAGCATCCCAGATAGCTGAGGTTACAGGTGCATGTCACCATGCCCAGCTTTTTTTGTTTTTGTTTTTGTTTTTTGTACAGATGAGGTCTCTCTATGTTGCCCAGATTGGTCTCAAACTTCTAAGTTCAAGCAATCCTCTCACCACAGCCTCCCAAAGTGCCAGGATTGTAGGAGTGAGCCTTATTTATTCTTTAATAATTACTGTCATCCCAGTAGATGTGAAGTGGTATCTCTTTGTGTTTTGATGTCCATTTCCCTAATGACTAATGATGTTGAGCATCTTTTTACATGCTTATTGACCATTTACATATTTTCTTTAAGAAATTACTTTTTTTTTTTTAGTTGACCCAGGCTGGAGTGCAGTGGCACGCTCCTGGCCACCCCAGCATTGACCTGCTGTGCTCCGGTGATCCTTTGCTTCAGCCTTCCAAGTAGCCAGAACTACAGGTGTGCACTACCATACCAGGATACTTTTTTATTTACTGTAGAAACAAGGTCTCACCAAGTTGCCCAGGCTGGTCTCAAACCTGCGGGCTCAGGCAATCCACTTGCCTCGGCCTCCCAAAGTGTTGGGATTACAGGCTGAGCCACCGAGCCCAGTCTATAGAAATATCTATTAAAAATCCTTGCCCATTTTTCAACTAGGTATGTGTCTATTTTTGAGTAGTAAGATTCTGTAATATATTTTGGATAAGTTCCTTATCAGATATATGATTTGCAAATATTTTCTCTCTTTCCATGGGACATTATCCAATTTTAAGACTTATCATAAAGTTACAGTAATCAAAACATATAGATCAATGGAACAGAATAGAGAGTCCAGAAATTGACCTACAAACATATGGCTAATTCATTTTTTACATAATAGTGTAAAAAGCCAGTTCAATGGAAAATGCATATAACTTTTTCAACAATATTGTTGAAACAATGGGACATCCATAGAACAAAAAAAATTAACCAGGACCTAAACTCTACACCTTATATTAATACAAAACATGGTCTCAAAATAAATAAATATATATCTAAATGTAAAACATAAACCATAAAGCTTTTAGAAGAAAACATGGGTGAAAATCCTTGTGTCCTATGATTAAGCAAAAAGTTCTTAGGCATGACACAAAGCATGATTTAGTTAAAAAAAAAAAAAACTAAAAAGGAAGAAAGAAGGAAAAAAACTTGATAAGGTGGACTTCATCAAAACTTTTGTTCTATAAAAGTCACTGTTAAAAAGATGAACTGGCCAGGTTTGGTGGCTCAGCACTTTGGGAGGCCGAGGCAAGTGAATTGCCTGAGCCCACGGGTTCAAGACCTGCCTGGGCATCTTGGCCCAACTGTCTCTTCAATAAATCAAAAATAAATTAGCCAGGTGTGGTAGCATGGGCTTGTAGTTTCAGCTACTTGGAAGGTTGAGGTGGAAGGATAGCCAGAGCCCAGCAGGTTGACGCTGGGGTGGCCATGAGAGTACCACTGCGCACCAGCCTGGGCGACAGAGTGAGACTCCAATTCAAAAAAAAAAAAAATGAGCTGACAAGTTACAAACCAGGAGAAAATATTTGCAAATTGTATATCTGACAAAGGATTCCATCCAGAATATAAATAGAACTCCAAAAATTTGCCAATAAGAAAACAAACAACCCAATTTGTTGTTGTTGTTGTTTGTTTTTTTGAGTCGGAGTCTCACTCTGTCGCCCAGCCTCGACCTGCTGGGCTCCGGCGATCCTTCTGCCTCAGCCTTCCAAGTAGCTGGAACTACAGGCGCCCAGCTAATTTTTCTGATTGATTGTAGAGATGAGGTCTCGCCTGCCCAGGCGGGTCTCGAACCCGCAGGCTCAGGCAATCCACTCACCTCAGCCTCCCAAAGGCACGGATTACAGGCTGAGCCACCGACCCCGGCTACAACCCAATTTTAAAATGGGCAAATACTTTAAAAGGGGATATATAGATAGCAAATAAGCAAATGAAAAGACGTTGCACATAGTTGTCCACAAGGGAAATGCAAATTGAAGCCACAATGACATATGATTACACACCTGTCAGAATAGCTAAACTAAAAATACTGGCAAAGATGCTGGGCAACAGGAACATTCCTTCATTGCTGATAGGAATGCAAAATGGTATGGCCATTCTGGAAAACAGTTTGGCAGTTTCTTACAAAGTTAAATATACACGTAGGATATGGCAAAGCATACGCCTACATGTGGTATTGCTCTAGAGAAATGAAAACTTAGGTTCACAACAGGTTTGTTTGTAATAGCCCCAAATTGGAAACAATCCAAATGTCCTTGAGTGGGCAAATGGATGAACAAAATATGATACTCATACCATGGAGTAAAAAGGAGCCAACTATTGATACACACAACAACACAGACAAATCTTAAGGGTATTATGCTAAGTAAAAGAAGCATATATTAAAAGATTACAATACTAGCTGGGTGCCATGGCTCATGCCTGTAATTCCAGTACTTTGGGAGGCTGAGACGAGATAATTGCCTGAGCCCAGGAGTTCGAGATCAGCCTGGTAACATGGCGAGACCTCATCTCTACATAAATCAAAAAAATTAGCCGGGCATGGTGGCGCACACCTGTAGTTGCAGTTACTTGGAAGGCTGAAGCAGAAGAATTGCCTGAGCCCAGCAGGTCGAGGCTGCGGTGGCCCTGAGCATGCCACTGCACTCCAGCCTGAGCAACAGAATGAGACTCCAATTCAAAAAAAGAAGTCAGTGTTATTATATGTTAAAATTAAATAAAAAGGAATATTTGTCTCATTATGTTACAGTAACTAATGTGGAGAGAAATATTGTAATTCCTAACAGCACATGATATCACATTATCTTTTATTAACCTGCCATCTCTTTCCACTGGTCAGAGGACCTCAGTGCTGGGCAGACGGAACACTTGCTTTCTTGGAGGAAACCCAGAAATCCCAGAGATAAAAACGGCAGGAACTGACATGAGCTGGGCTAGGCTGGCCCGAGGATGCTACAGTCAGTACGGTGGGGCATGTTCCCAAGTAGGGTGCATATCGGGCTCTGCTCTTCTGGTTCCCCCAACTTGTGATTTTGGAATGGGTAAGGATAGTGCAGCAATCAACTGCCAATGCAGGAGTGACATCCTGGGATGACCCAGTTCCTATCTGTCCTGACTCTGTGGTCAGACTGTGGCCAACACCCCCTGTAGGGCCAAGCAAGGGAAGCAGGAGCAATAGCCCACCAGGTCTTGATTGCTCCATAATCACTAGACCTGATAAAAAGCCCCATCCCTGTAGCCTCCTCCCCACTCCTGAACAATGGCCAAACCCAGCTGCACCCAGCTCCCTGTATATAAGGGAATTCTGGGGGCTGAGCACCACCAAGGCCAGTCCTGAGCAGGCCTAGTTCCAGTGCAGCCACCCACCCCCCACCACCATGTCTCTGACCAACACTGAGAGGACCATCATTAAGTCCATGTGGGGCAAGATCTCCACTCAGGCCGACATGACAGGCACCGAGACTCTGGAGAGGGGAGTGTCAGACAGGACTGCCTGGGGGACCAGACTGGAGATCAAGTGGGTGAGTGGGGTCAGTGAGGAAGGAACAGTGAGACAGGAACAGTGACAAGGGGACAGTGAGGAGTGGCCAGTGAGGAGGGGACAGAGGGGACAGTGAGGAGGGGACAAATGAGGGGTCACTGTGGAGGGGACAGTGAGGAGGGGACGTAAGGTGGAGTCACTGAGTAGGGGATAGTGAGGAAGTGACAATGAAGAGGGGTCATGAGGAAGGAATCTTAGTGGTTGCACAGGCATATGATGGCTTGTGGTTCTCTGAGACCTGAGCAGGCCCTGGCCTAGGCTCCCAGACAGAGCTGCCCTACAAGGCCGTCCGGGCACTGCAGCCACTCACGGGGGGGCTTCTGGTCTCAGAGAAGGTCAGAGGAGGTTTTCCTGAAGGGACCTTCCTGGGGAAGCCGCAGAGAGGGCCTTGGCCTCCCAGCAGGGGCAGCAGACCACCTGGGCCAGGCAGCGGAGGCGACGCCGTGGCCAGGGGAGAGGGTGGGGACGGGGGTGTCCGCAGGTGCTGAAGGCAGGGGCGGGGGATGTGGGGAGCAGGCTGTGCAGAGCGAGGGGACAGCCCGGAGCTGCCGCGGCCTGGAGGGGGCTGAGGTGGCGCCGGGTG